GGAAGTGTGGGAGGGGTTGGACTGGAGAGGGCTACAGTGGAGCCAGCTCCTGCCCGACATCACCTGTGTTTCAGTTAATTTTCACAGGTTTTGAACTTTTCAATTCTTTTAATCTTTCTCCCCCTTCCCCCTCACACCTGCTACATAAAGGCAAAAAGAATCATGACTCTTTTCCCTCATGCTATGTGCAAACATCCTACCGAGAGTGACAGCCCTACATTTTCAAGTGATTATTTATTTTTGGCTGTACCACTCGAAAACTCATGAGCCACCTGGGTGCCTGTAGCTCCCACTGACTTCTCAAAATTAGGCCCAAATGATCTCAAGTTAGAATATGAGGCACTGGTTGCTTTTTAAAATGTATGCCGTCTTATGTTGTTAGATAGTCTGAGGAAGCTTGGACTTATTTTAATAAGTGAAATAACTGGACACTAGGTGGTGCAAAGCTTGCAGATAGGGCTTTAGATATGTGTTAGTCTTACTATCACTGCACAGACTGATGGCTCATAGAAGAGATGTGAACTGTCCTGGAAGCGTGGATGCTCTGTTTGTACACACTGGGCGCATTCAGACGAGTGTGGCCATGTGGTATGTGGTGCCACAAATACGTCTGCAGCCCCACATACAGCAGTCAGGTGTTCTCTGAGCTGCAAGGGTGCGCTGTCCATATGTGTGCAGCCCCAGGATGACCCCAGGTAAAGCTGCTGGCACCAACACAGTGCAGGCCCCAGCCTCCCCTACCACTCCTTGGGTAGCTTGCCGTGTGCCAAAGTGTGTGTGGCACAGGTGTTCCCTGGGGACAAGTAACTGCAGTGCAAGGTGCGCTGCAGATACTTGTCCCTGGGGAACCAAACGTCTGTGCTCGTCTGGACGTGGCCATTTGGTATGAATATATTAATTCTTTGTCCTATTTCTCCCATTCCTACTGTGCCTAAAGGAACTGTATTTAGAATGAACAAAACCATGGAACTGGAATAGAGGGAGGGGGCTTGGGTTCATAGGTTCCAGAGGATGTAGATACAATGCTAGAACTGTAGCACCATTATCTTAGGAAACTCTTCTCTTCACCAATTGCTTCTATGGACTTTGAGAGGAGAGAGGGATGTAATGTGCTGGTCCAAGAGGTCGAGGAGCATTTTCACCAGGAGATAGCGCATGGAGATCTCTTCCTCCTTGATGCTCCTGTTCTTTACCCAGGCATCTGTCATGAACTACCAATGGAAATGTAGTAGAAGCAGGAGAATGTTTGTGAGGGCTGTGAACACAACTAGAAATGCCAAAAAACCCCAACTATACTAAGGTGGGTTATTTCAATAGCGTAAGGAAGGATTTTGTCTTGGGGAGAAAAAGAGATCAGGAATTGGGGGAGAATTAGGGGAGGTAAGAGAAAGAGAGGAACTCTACACAACTGTGCCAGTGACCTGTGCTATAAAAATTAACACATCTATTGTCTGACTGCAATTTTTCCTGCAGGCGGTATACAAGCTAGCAGATGTGGCCTGCAAGTGCCACGGTGTGTCGGGTTCCTGCAGCCTTAAGACCTGCTGGTTGCAACTGGCTGACTTCCGCAAGGTGGGTGACTTGTTGAAAGAGAAGTATGACAGTGCAGCTGCCATGAGGATCAGTCGCAAGGGCAAGCTAGAGCTGGTAAACAACCGCTTCAACATGCCTACTCAAGAGGACCTGGTCTATGTTGACCCCAGCCCAGATTACTGCCTGCGCAATGAGACCACTGGCTCACTGGGCACTCAGGGCCGGCTGTGCAACAAGACCTCAGAGGGCATGGATGGTTGTGAGCTGATGTGCTGTGGCCGGGGCTATGACCAGTTCAAGAGTGTCCAGGTAGAGCGCTGCAACTGCAAGTTCCACTGGTGCTGCTATGTCAAGTGTAAACAGTGCCCAAAGATCGTTGACCAGTACGTCTGTAAATGAAAGACCCACCAAAGCAACAAATCTATATTATATAAATCTATAAATATATTTTATATTTGTATAAATAAATTGATGATGATAATTAAAGAAGCTTATTTAAGAGACATTTTGGTTCTGAAATTTCCCAATCAGACTGGCTGTTTCTTCGCTTCTTTGATTCAGCTGGAGAGAAAAACGAGAATTCACCCTTATGCACATCTTCCCTAGGATATTCCAACTGGGGTGAAGGGGCCAAGGAGTTGCTAACAAAGGAACTCCCAACCCTCCCCCCACCACAATCAAGGGATTCATTGCCAGAGAAGAGGTGAAGGGAGGGTTCTTTGCTGTCTCATCATGTAAATGTCAACTGTGTATGTGGTTTTGGACATCTGGAGTTATAGCCAGACATGGGGGAGTTTTTAGATGTTCTGGTTTCAGCTCTTACTCCATTGGATGAACAACATGCAGGGACTTGGAGCCATTTTTTGGTCTCTATAAAGACAGCACTAAGGCTTTGTCAAACTGGAGGGAAAAGTCACTCAGGTCTCATGTTCAAGACTACGGATTAAAATACAGAGTTCCATTGACAGTGTATGGAATAGAGCAAGGACTCCTGCATGGTGGTGAAGGGCCACCTGCTCTAGGTGACAAAGGAAGGTATGATCTTCTCTGGGAACTACTGCCTTGCCCAGTCTAAGAGAATCCAGTGTCTTGTTCTTCTGTACCTCTAGGGCAAAAGGGAAATCTGCTAAAGACCTGTCTGGGCTCATATGTTAAGAAGGAGGGTTTTTTTCCCACTACCAAAGCCAGTTTGTCTTTGTAGAGGAAAACCTATTAAATGGACTGTTTGGGAAAGAAATATGCTTCATGTGTCTATCAGTGAATGGGGTGAGAGAGAGATGCGCACACGCATACATACCCATCCATAAACACACATGCACACATAGACACACACAATGGGGACCAAACAAAAATGCACCTCAGTCCTCACACTACTGGTATCTTTTCCCTTTGAAATGGACACAGATGGTTACTTTGCCCAGGTCTTTTCATCTGTCTGCCATTTCTGTGGTGACTGTACAGTTTCCCTCTAGCATTAAATTCCCTTCATTGAGGTTTCTGTCCCTTTTGTGCGTGTGTGGGTGTGTGGGTTTGGATATTGTGTTTTACTCTGTTTTGCTGCTGTTCCTTTTATAGTTCAGGGGCCAAACTCTTCCCTGGGGTAAACACATTGCGGTCAGTATAGTTATACCAAAGACCAAGATGTCTCCAGTCTGTGGGAAAGATGTTCCATGAGTGAGGTCTTATCCTGTGCTGTCATTTGGTGATAAAGGAGTAAAATAAATTCAGGACAGAGGTCCATTAGCAAAATCTGTTAATTTCTTGGAATTTTAGTAGGCTCAAATTTATATAGATATGTAGAACAAATGTAGTTTCTAGTACAGGACACTTCCTGAGCCTCACACCATCTGTAGAGTTCATTTATAAGTGTAGAGCAATCAGAGAAGCCAGTGCCAAAATATAAACATTTATGATTATGCTTCCCCTTTTCTATTGACATTCTGAATTGTTTACTGATAGTTTTTGTGTCCAGAAATTGCCAATAAGTAGAAAAATGCCATCAACCATAAAATTACATTTCAGATTTTACAACTCCTGTTGCTGATGAAACATGGCAACTTTACAAAACCCATCAGAGAAACCTGAAAATTCATATTTCATTTTTAAAGTATTTGAAGGGTCCAGAAATACAAGAGGGAGAACAATGATGCTTGATAATTTTTTTTTTTAATTTACTGATGTTTCTAGTGTTTATCTTGTTTTTTATCCAACTGTCAATGTATTTGCTGGCATTGCAGAGTGCAATTTGTTGTAATATAAACAATGGCCTAGATTTATTTTATTATGTAAAATACAAGTCAAAGGTATAGTAATTCAAAGGAATGGAAATACTTTTCTATGCATGGAAAAAATGTGAGTATGGTGGCCCAGTCCAACTCCCATTAAACTTCAGTGGGAACTGGACTGAGCCCAAGATCACTTCAAATGTTCAGATGTGAGCTCTTTACTTGGGATACTATAAATTTCTTGCTCAGCTATAAAAATCATTCTACCTTGGATATACCTTAACCCCCACCCCCCCAAAAATACCCCAACCCACCCTCCCAAAAAAACCCTTTTCCATCCTGCATGTTCACCCCATGTTCTCCCCCATCGTTATCACCTCAGTGTTTGAAGGGTTCAGACATTTTTATATGGCACCCACAGGCATTATTAATATATCCAGACATGGAGAATGTTTTAATTTTTGGTTCATATCAAAAGACCACATATTTATGGGAGTCTCAGTTCAGATTGTAGTTCTATGTCCCTGTAATTAATTTTGTGGAGGTAAAAAATTGTGAGAAGTGATGGCATGGACAGACTCTGGGAGAATCCATACAAGAGAGATGCCCCACCTTCCTCCAGTTACAGCGTGGGTGATACCCATGAAGAAGCTGGAGTAGTAACAGGCCTGTTATCTTTCCATAAAGACGTCAGTAGGCAAAAAGCAGATGACTGGTCTTCTTAAAACAGTTAATAGCAGGGGAAGCCTTTTGAGAAGGGGAAAGTGCTTGGAGGGATTTCCATGAGTTTAAGAGGCCTTCAAACTTTGAATTATTCTCTGGAATGCAAATTTGGGGAGGCTCTGATCATTGAGAATTTTATTTTTTCTAAAACCCTAAAGTTCACAAGGGTGCCTAATAAAAACCTTTGGGCAGTTTCTCAGCTTTTTGGAGAACTGACATTGTTTTGTTTTTCCCCCCAAATTAATTGGCTTTCAGCTTTCCCAAAATACAGGCAGTCTGGGTCCAGCAATCTGGTTCATCTCCTTTCTAGTTAAAGGATAATTTTAGTGGAGCCCGTACATAAAAGAACTTTAAGTTAACAGTCAGAATGTCAATGAGAACACATTCTGAGTGGTTGTAAGTATGCAAAGGGAATGGAAATTGAGTGGCAGATGAACTGCTCTTTTCAAATGACAGGGACAAAGTAGTGAATTTTACATTATGCATTAATAGATAGGAAGTATGGTCCAGAGGCACAGAATGGGGAGTTGAGAGAGATTCCTAGCTCCTCTGATGACCTGCGTGACCTTGGACAAGTCACTTTACCCTCTGTGTTTCAGTCTCCTCAAATAAAAAGAGGGTTACGATTCTTACTTTCTCTTGTTATGTCCTTCGAGATATATAGGTGAAAGTGCCATCTAAGAACTAGGACTTATTACTTCTTGTAGACACACAGGCATACACTGTTGTGCTGTAAGAATCACAGCTCTGTCAAAGCTGCACATAAGAAGGCTGTACTTTGTACCTGCACAAGGGATAGGAATCAACAATAAGGTGGTGTTGCAGATTCAGCAGGAAGTGCTCTGCTTTCTCAGTCTCTGTTAAACAAAAATGTGCACCAGCATGGTGTTGAAGTGCTGTTTTCTGAATAAAATGTGAAACTACAGACTTGTTCATATATCATTGTATCTCATGGTACTCTGTAAGGTTAAGCAATAGTAAAATGAGTCTGGTTTCTGAGCCAAACCTTTATTTACTTAACTGGTGCTTGCAGTTTCAAATGAAGAACCTAGCCTGAACTCTTACGTAGTGTGTTTTTAACAAGCTGCCACATTCTTACCCTGAGGTGTCTGAACTGAATTGAGTGATCCTTGCTATATAATGTAAGTCTGTAAAACATATTGGGATTAAAGTCATTATATACATGTCTAGTTTGCTACAGTCAACAGGCACAACATCAGCTCCTGGAATTAAGAGAATAGGATTTAAATCATTTATCACATTTTAACACTTTAGTAGTCTTTAGGGTATATAATTAATGAATGAGGCCTTAGGAAATCCCTGTTTATTACAATCTGATTCAAGACAGACTTAGAAATAGCTAATCACAAAGGGGAGGAATAGAACCAATGGTAATGAAAAAATGCATTTGTGTTTACTTATGGCAGGCTGATGTGACAACTGGGTTTGTGATAAAGTTAAAATGAACTAGCCCTTTGATGGCAGAGGGCACTGAGCCCTGCATTGTTCAGTTGTTCCAATTCATATCTGCCCCACTGAAATCCTCCAGTTTTCTGCATATATAAATCTGGTAATGAGGCTTCAGCCTTTTACCAGAAGTGAAACAGCTACATTGAACCCAAACATCTATCACAACTTCACATTGTCTTTTAGATCTCATCCCACTTCCTGCAGTTCCAACAAAATCAGAATGAAACAGAATTTGTTCAGGGTTATCCTAATATTGAATGAGAATAGCAGTAGGCATATGCAGATGGTCTCTCTCTGCCTCACCAGACCCCAGCTGGGGTGAACATTCATAAGCTCAGGCAACCTCGTGGGAGCAATTTGTAACAATCTGTGGCTGCAGAAATGTAGATAGCATAGAGACTGCAGGAGATAACTTCTACATACTGGAAGGCAGTACAGGCTATCTGTTATTCTAAAGTGGCTATCACAGGCACAGCTTTGTATAACCACATATGCTTTCTCATTCATGTAATTTCAGGTTATATTTTTTTATGGAAGAGCCTGTGTGACATAGAGTTCCATCACATGGCAAGCTGTAAAGAAATATGCCATATACCCAGAAATACACATAAGCAGTTGTGATATATCCCAGGCAGAGCTGGAGGGAATGGCTCAGCTGGGTAACATCAGGTTTGGTAAGCCTTGATTTCCTGAAACCAGAGATTTGAATATTCTTGCTCAAGGTCACAGTGAACCAGCAACAGTGCTGAAAATAGAACTCCAAACTCCCAGTCATGTGCCCTGTTCACTGGACTACAATCTCCTGCCCATTAAGGGTGGAGTGTGTCAAAGATGGAAAAAAATCCATACTGGCATCAAAACACATACCAGGAAAAACAACCAGATCTCAACAATCTTAAACCCAAGAACAAGAATATTTTTAAACATCAATATAACAAACAATAGAGATCACCTCTCCTGTTCAATCTCTCCGTTGCCAGTCTCTTTATTCCTCTTCAGATGGCAGTGGGTATCTACTGCTCCCATTAGGAGAGCAATGGAGGGTATAAAAACACACACTGGGATCTTGTGAAGTGGAAAGAGAATAACAGTTGAAGCAGGAGTTCTTTTTTTCTTCTGGAATGTGGCAGCTTCTCTCATTTCTTGGGTACAAGGGAGAGTCCTTGCAAGTGGAAAGGGGAAGATGAAGCTACAAGCTGGTAAAGAGATGCACTGGTTTTGTAAGTGCAGGGAGGAACATCTGCAGGGTTATATTACCCTATTTCCAGGGTTGTGTCTTAAGGAGAAACTCATGGCTCAATGGTGACAAACGCCAAAATAAAGAAAAGGTTTTGGAGATTAAACATATGTGAGAAAAACCAGGATAAGTCTGTCAAGAAAAATGGACCAATGTCTTAAGTTGAGGTGGGGAAGGAGAAAAGACTTTTTCTCTCAGCCAAACGGAATTGTGGGAAATACAGAGCCATGAAACTGTGGGAAATACAGCAGCCCCCCTGGCTCTCCAGGGAGCTAGCTGGCCTCCTGAGGCTAAAAAGGCCTACAAAGGATGGAGGATGGGATTTACTTCCAAGGAGGAATATTCTGCACTGGTCCAGTCCTGCAGGGAGCAAACCAGGAAAAAGAAAAGGCTGCAACTGAACTGCAACTAGCTTTTAGCATCAAGGACAATAAAAAGTCCTTTTTCAGATATGTGGGGAGGTGGAGGAAAAGCAAGGGCAACATTGGACTCCTGCTGAACTAGATGGGGCAACTGACAACTGACGTCCAGGAAAAAGCCAACCTATT